AGAAGGCCAGGTGTGCACCTGACACAAAAGCTTTCAAAAGCCTACCAATGATCCCCCTAGTCACCAAATGGAATGGCTTTTTCTGAACCTGACTCTCCCTGCTGTCTCTGTAACACTTGACAATGCTGGCCAACTCCCTCTCTTTCTTTCTTTCTTTATTTTTTTGCGGTAAGCGGGCCTCTCACTGTTGTGGCCTCTCCTGTTGCGGAGCACAGGCTCCAGATGCGCAGGCTCAGCAGCCATGGCTCACGGGCCATGTGGGATCTTCCCGGACCAGGGCACGAACCCGTGTCCCCTGCATCGGCAGGCAGACTCTCAACTACTGCGTCACCAGGGAAGCCCCTCCCTCTCTTTCTTGACAGAACCTCTTGGTTTGCCTATCTCTCTGACCATGCCTTCCTTAAGGTGGTAACACCTAAAACTGGGGAGGTGGCAGTAAATACAGAAAGGAAAGGATAGATATAAGAAACATTTCAAAGGAAGGCAGAGCAATATTTGGAGATCAAACCCTTCTTCCTTGTGTCATTCTTGCAGCATTTCCAAATATTGTTTTCTACTGAGGTTAACTATGTATACGCCATCTCTCCTTCTTGGGACAGAGACCAGATTTTAAGTATCTAAAAGTGCTTTGCAACAGTACCGAGACCTTCTAAGATACTTAATAGATATTTGTCAAATAGTTCAAGACTGATTTTGAGATTTCCTCCATCTTAGACTCAAACTACAAAAGAATTATTACCTGCCTTTACAAAACCTACATTCAGCAAAGAGAACTAGTCCCTTAATGATGCATCGAGGCCTACTTAGGCTTCTTGTAAAGATGACAGAGATAAGATCTGGTACAGGCTAAATTCATAATTATTAAACAAGTCCAGCTGCCATTTCAGCAAAGATAATGTCTTAATGAAGATGAGAGTAAGCAGGCTTTGTATTGAGGATATAAACTAGGAATGACCAGGGGGAAAAAAGCCCAGGATATAATCTGGGATTCTGTCATGGGGGCTGCCTTCCTCTAAAACAATGGGCCCCATTACAATGGAATAAGGGGCTGGGAGGACAATAACAAGTCCCTTCCAGAATAGCAACAAGCCTACATGTCTGATGGGATCTCACAGGGAGAAAAGAGGACCTCTGTTATCACAGCTATCCGCACCGAATGGTCAGCATGGTCCAGGGCAAGGCAGCCTTGCTGAAGAGAGGAATTCTGGATGTCCTTTCCTTGCTGACATCAAGAAGTATCTCACGGGTTCTCTGCTAAGCAGGCAATAAGCAGCAATGGGATCTGCAAATCGGGCTTGGAGGGGAAGACGTAGAGCTGCCTAGGGAAGGCTTAATTCTAGACCTATCTGTGACTTCCTCTATTACCTCGGACAAGAAGTCTCCTTGCTTTGTGCTTCATCTCCTCTTATGCAAATGTAGAGTACTGGCGGTAGAAAAGCAGCATCTGTAAAACCGCTTGGAAAGTGAATTTTTAAAAAAGTAAAGTGAAAGGAAAACTATGCTCACCTGATCCCTGCCCAATGACATATATGGTCTCTCCGCATCCCTCGTCCATCCTCTCCCACATTTGCCGAAGTAGGCTGTCATACTGCTCTGATGTAGGGCTCACTAGAACCAGCTAGAAGAGAAACCAACAGCCTTAGGACCACACTCACTAGAAGAACACCACAGCCAAAGCAGATCAAGAGCCTGACCAAAGACCCTGACTGAACCCCACAGCACCCTGACCTAAAAGAGCTGGGCAGCCCTCTCATGCCCTCTCTGCCTCTCCTTAAATAGCCTTTGAGCCCAAGGCCTTATGAGAGTTGAGTTATATGAAGGTACTGAAATGAGTATGTCTGAACCACAACCCACAGAAAAGAGGGTGTGAGCAGCCTGCCTCCTGCTGCTTAACGGGAGGGGCAGGATCCACAATGACTGAGAATCTGGCATTGTAGGTAGAAATTAAAAGAGTAGTGCTTTATAGCTACATGCCAAAGTCTTCTACCTGCAGCTTGCAACTCACAGAGATCTCCATCCAAGGCCAGTGGTTCCCATAATAACATAAGAGTCTGTTCCAACTTGCCTTGGCTATCTCGATTATTTAGGAATCGGCAGTAAAAACTGCTGCAAGACTCATCTTTATCAACAAAACACATTACCCCTAAGATGGGTATTAGCACCGTCACTTTGCGAATTTCTGCCAATAACACTAAAATATCAACCACTTATCTGGGGAGGCCAGTTACCAACAGGCATGTCAGATCCCATTCTCTAACCACTCATGTGTGACCTTGGACAAAGAACTTAACCTCTGAGTCTCAGTTTTTTAACCTACAAAATGGAGATACTACTACCTACATCCTAAGGCCACTGTAAAGACCAAATAAGATAACATGTAAAGCATCCAGTCCACAGCTCAATAAGTGGTAATTACAATTTTCTTCACCCAATCATCCTAGAAAAATCTTCCTGGATGAAACTAGCCACCACAGTTCACTAACTGCTTCTCCTTTTGGAAGCTCTCAGAGCCTTATGTCCATCCCCACATTTAATTGTAGCAAGTATATAAACTTATAGCTTCTAATCTTTTCCTCAGGAATCAATCTGTTCAACCCCTCTATTCTCTCCCTTCACATCAGTTTTTCTTTTCAATATCATCAGTATTAATCTACATATAGCTTCTCAACTTTAAAATACTGAGAAGGACTTCCCCAGCTATGTGATGAAGCAACACTTCCCTATCCTGGAACATTAAATAAGTTGGTCAGGAAATAGAGGTACTACTCTCTGCAACTCTGCCCCGCAATTTCCCACTGTTTTCAGGTTTCTTCAGCACCTTGGCCATGAATTGACATCTAGTTCATCTGCTTGAGTCAAGTGTATCTCTTACAATTTCCTGAGTTGACTCATCAGAGCTTATGCTTTGAACCTGGGTGCTGGGTCTTGTGCATCGTGTCCCATTACCTGACACATTTCCCCTGACCATCCTCTCTGAACTTGGCCAGCCTCATTATGGCATTAGAGGCACCAGACAGGACCACTGTGACAAGGTGCAGTACCGGCTTCTAAGTGCTCAGCAGAGACTAGAGGGAGAGATCAATTAGCTGCAAGGTAAAGTTCTCTCCTGTTTGGACCAAGTTTCATGCAATTTTGCCACCACAGACTAGAAAGTCACAAATGTTTTCAAAAGTCGTTAAACTTCTCTACCGTAAGTATTCAACAACAGGTAGGAGGTGGTATCGGTGTTCTATCTTGCATCAGCTGCTATTTAATCTGCACAGGGAATTATCAGTTTATTCAGTTCACTTCAAACATTTACTGAGTAGTATGTAACCGGCAGTATAGCAGGTTTCTTACACACAGTTCTCGTTTTTACAATGCATCTGTACTAAAAAGATGATGGAGCTGGAGAACTGAGAGGTTAAGAAACTTTCCCAAGGTCACAGAGCCTTTTTAACTGGCAGGGCAGGAAAGGGAACCCAGCCCTGTCTGACTCCCAAGTTGTCATTCTTTCCTTTAGCAATGTTAGGCACCTTCGAAACACCAGTCCCAAATTATACTTAATTTTTTATTCCTCCCACCCCCAACGCCAAGCAGAAGATGAGCCCTTAAATCCTGCCCACCTTCTCAAGAGCTCAGAAGACACGATTTAAATCGTCCTTCATTATTCCAGTCAAACAACATAAGGTCCCACTCCCAGAATGGCGAAATGATGGGTCACTGCCCATCTTTCACTTCTGTTTTGGGTGGGTTTGTAAGGTAGACATGCTTCAGACGTCCTTCTCCCGGACTGAGCGACTACTTAATGTTTCCTCTCCCAACACCAGGAAGAGCTGCAGCTGATTCCCTGCTTCCCCCTCGGACTACATGATCCTTCCGCGCGCCCTGCCCAAGCCACCTCCGACCCTAGGCTGCCGTGGACAGTCCACGGGGAGAGCCACTCTCGATCTCAGGGGAGGCGGCACCGCGTGGGGACGACCACTGCGCGAGTAGCTGCCGGCGTCCGGCGCCCGCGTTCCACGTGGCGGAGGCGAGGGGTTGTGATCTCAGCGGGAGCCGGACGGCGGGAGGCCGGGTGGGCGCCGCCGGGGAAGGACAGCGGTGCGGCGGGCCGCCGGAGCCGCCCCTCATCGGGGAGCCCGCCGCGCGTCCCGCACTTACAGGTGGATGGGCTCGGCCCCTCCTGCCCCCGCCGTCGCCCCGGAGACTGCGCGGCCCCACCGCCCGGTACCCCTCGGCGCCCGGACGGTCCCCTCAGCGCCGGCGCCGGCGCCCGGGCCTACCTTGCTGGTGAGGTCCAGCTCCGGTTCGCCGTTGAGCGCCTCGCCGTCCTCGCTGCAGTCCGAGTCGAAGCCGCCGTGGAGCCGGGCGGCAGCCGCCGCGGCCCTGGCCGCCCCCGGAGAGCTGGGCTCGGGGGCGAACATAGAGGCAGGGACCGGCGAGTCCATCGGGAAGCGACTCCGCTCCGCCGCCATCTTTAATAACTTAGGCTAATTCGTAGCCGGCCTCCCCTCCCTCCCCAGCTCATTTGCCTAATCTATGCGCAGCCCCGCCCCTAACCTTATCAGAATAATTTATGCGAAATTTCTCCAGCCGCGTAGAGGATGATACGTATCTCTAGCTAAGAAACAAACGACCAGGCCTCTCAGCCACCAATCGCTGCAGCTCTTTCAAGTACCTAATGAATAATTAATGAGACCCAAAGCCCAACAACAAACGTCTGAGACGTCACGCGCCTTGATCGTAACTTGGGAGGGACAGCACCATGTCCACGCTACCTGCCAGGAGCCTTCCCGCCAATGGGAGCAGAGCAGAGCACGACTGACACAGCAGCCATACAATGAGAGAAATACACACAACGCTTACCTTCACCGCCCATCACTCTCCTTGTTTTCAGAGGCAGTGCACAGCTTCCAAATCCTGCTGCTAGGCAGTCGGGGCGGAGAGCCTTCCGATGATAGACAGGTGAAAGGCCCAATCCAGTCTTCGGACAAGTCCCGCGCCTCGGGCCACTGCCCACGGAGATAGTAAACTGCGCAAGGCGCCTCCCACTCAACTCTGACTCCTGGCAGTCACTGAAGACTGATTTTCGACCTGCTGGCAGTCTCCAGGCAATTTTAACACTAGGATCGATGTCTGGAATACTACGGCAGCCAGAGCGCGGCAATTAACTGAACGCTGACCTTAGGGAGAATTCTCCATTCATGGCCTCTGCGGAGAGAGCAGTTACACGACCAAAATGAGGCAACTAGCTCAACAGAAGCCAAAAGTACCTCAATACATTTGTGAACTGTAAGGCCGAGATCTAGAGTCTGTTAAGGTAGTTTCCTATGGATGATTCTTCCTGTGTCATCAGCTGTGTAAAACCCAACCCAAAACACTATCAACAGAAGTTTTACTGTCTTGAATTCCTCTTCCAAAAGACTGAAGAGCTTGATGAAATTAGGGATTAGTCAAACTCTAATAATGCTGGCCATGGCCACTCGTCCCAGGCAGCAAGCAAGAAAGAGCAGCCATTTCAGAAGATAACATACCCAGATTTAGGGGTTTGGAACACAAGATTTTGTGAGCAAGAGGCTGGGTTCCAAAGAGCCTTCAGTTTCAGGGATCTACTTGAGAGTTAAGAGGCAACTTCTTGTTCCTGTTTGCAACTACGATCAAATTTTTTTTTTTTTTAATATTTGGCTGCACCGGGGGTCTTAGTTGCATGGCACGCGGGATCTTAGTTGCCGCATGCGGGATCTAGTTCCCCGACCAGGGATTGAACCCAGGCCCCCTGCTTTGGGAGCCTGGAGTCTTAACCACTGGGCCACCAGGGAAGTCCCCAATCAAATTTTATCTGTACAAACACAGGTGAGAATCTGGGATGAGAAGCCATCCAACTCCAAAGGTCTTGATAATAGTTCTTTTTTTTTTTTTTTCTGGTGAAATTGCTCACCACTATCCTACATATGCCTCTATGAGGTAGATAAAAATATTAAAATCTCAATTTGGCAGGAGAACCAAATATTGGGCATTATACTCCAGAATAATATTGATATTTAGAATCTTACCAACTGGCTCTTCCAGAAAAAGTTCAAGTTCAGAATGTGCTGACACCTGATGGGAAGCTAAAAAACATGCCCTTCTCATTACAGGGCTTTACCCAGAAAAAAAATATTCTCAGAGAAGGTGCTTCTTGAATTGAATAGAGAAATCTGAAATCACATTTTAGAGAGGGAATTCCTTACCCTCTTTACATCCTCTTTCGGAAGACAGGTTAGAACCTAGGTTCAAATCCTAGGTCCACTATTTACTAGCTATGTGACCTCAAGCAAGTTAATTAACCTCTCTGTGCTTCAGCTGTCATCTCAAAAAAAAAAAAGTACCTACCTAACAGGTCAGCAGTAAATGAGTTAATATAAGTAAAGCACTTAGAAGAACAATGTTTGCAAGCCTCAATTACGAATCATACACAAATATAACTGTAATCCTCAGATGGCTTACAGATAATAAAAATTTAAGATGATTCAAAAGTTGTCTGGACGAGGGCAGAGGACTCCCAACCACATGGTAGGCACACAAGCAAGTATGTTAAGTGATAATTCTGTGTTTAGTGTAATGGTGTTGTTAAAAAGAAACAAGCCCCAAATGGAGTCACTTGTGTTGAGCCCCACCAAGATTTAATACCTAACCTAACTGCAGTTTCAACCTCTATGAGGAGTAGAATCTTAAACCAATCACTCTGAAATTTCCTGAACAACACTAGTAATCTGCCTGATAAGACCCCTTGCTTCCTATAAGGGAATGTGACCTTCCCTAATACAATCCACTCTTTCTTCTGCCTATTGAAAACTTTCCATTTTGCACAACTCCTAGGAGCGCCTATTTACTAGGCGGGATGCTGCCCGATTCATGAGTTGTTTAGTAGGCCAAGTAGATTTTCAGATTTACTCGGTTGATGTTTGTGTTTTAAGTGTTGAGCTGTGTTGAAGCAGGATTAAAGAAATGACTGAATTAAGTGTGATCTTTTCTTTTATTGTTTTTCCAACTTTCTGAACAAAAATCCAAAAGGATAGCAACACTAAAGTGGATGATGAATATTTGCTGAAGACTTCCACATGTCTTTGGGTAAAAATAAAGGGAAAACAATCCATGTGGGACTGAGTTCATCTTCCTGACACACACAATGCCACAATGCACTTACGCCTTGAGAAAACTCAGAGGAAAGCTCTACGGCCGCCACTATGAGACCAGAGGGGAACCCCAAGGCAAAAGGGCAGCGGTCTGTGAGTAGCAAGCCGAAATACGACACCAAGGAACTGAAATAGGATTATTCCACTTGAAACGTTAACTCCCGGCGAGGCACTTACCCGCAGAGCTCCCGGAAAGTGAGGGCGGTCGGGCCCACTAAACAAGAGAATTTGCGCCCGACCGCGTCGGTAAGGTGCTTTGAAATCACCTAGCGAACTGCATGCTAGACAAACATAAAACGGCCAGCGCAAGTGAAACTAGTCCGGGTTCGCGAAAGCACTCTGCCCCAAAAGCCTGATCAGAAAGACGGGAGGGCTGGGGAGACTCGCGAAGTGTAGCCCCAGGCTGGGTTGCCGCCCCGGAACTGAGCCGATGCCCGTGGGATGAGAGGGGCGGGACAGGCATCGGGGCGGGACTCCCGGCGGCCGCCCGGCCTGCCCAGCCCCGGAGGGAGAGAACAGAGGATCCGGGCACCAGTCGAGGAGCCGGGCACTATCTCTACCTGCGGCGAGTCGCCGCTACAGCCGCCGCCGCCGGGCTACCTACCCCACACCGCCAGGGGCCCCAACGCAGCCTGCACCCGCGCAACAGACGCACGGCGGCCGCGACCCCACAGCCGGCGCCGCTGACGTCAGGCCGACGTCAGAGCGGACGCCGCGGCGGGGCGGGAGCTGGGACGGCGAAGGAGGGGGTTTTCGGAGCAAGCGCCGGGCTGGGGCCGCTGACGTCGGGCTCAGGTGCGCGCGCTCGCTCGCCCGCCCGAGCGCGGCCCAGGTGGCGGCTCGCAGCTCCAGGTGGCGGCCTACAGCGGTGAGGGGGCGACCGGTGGCGCGTCCGCAAGCTGTCCCGGCGGCGTGGGGGACCGGGCGGGGTCGGGGTTAGGGGAGCGGCGGGAGGGCTCCTCGGCTTGCACTCACGTGACGGGCGGGGAGGCTGGGGTGGGGGCGGCGAGCTGGGTGGGCCTGGGCCCCAGAGGGCGAGACGAATTGTCCGGCCCCACCCCTCGCGGGCCTGCCCGTCGCAGTGCAGGACCTTCCTTGGGGCTGGGGCCGGACCCGCCGCGCAGCTTCCCTGGGCAGCCTGGTCCTCTGCGGCGGCCCGCCCGACCGCCGGAGCTGACAGGAGTTGTCTTCCCCGTAGGGCCGCGGCGAGAGGGTGAGAGTCCGCGCTTTCCGAGGGAGCTGCGCCGGCCTCGGCCCCGCGGGGTCTCACCGCACCCGAGAGGATGGAGAGCCTCCCCCGACGCCCCAGCAGGGCCCGCGATCCCACGCTGGCCGGCCCTCGCTAGCTGCTCGAAATTTGCGTTTTATCCACCAACCTAGGCCTTGCCTTCTGAGTCAGTGGCGTTGTGGTTCCAAAGAAATGGAAGAAAAGGAGCGATGTGACCGACTCCGTTCGGTCCTCCTGCCTTGAGGCCTGGTTGGCATTTGCAGAAAGGAAAATACAGCAAGAAAATCGTGTGTTTTTGGAAGGGGTAGAAGAGGAGGGTGGAAGAAGGAAAACAAGGTCTTAGATTTTATATGATTTTTTAAAACTTCTGCACTTCGACAGTGGTGGCAAAATACACTAAGTCCAAAAGTTATCTTTGTTTTGAGAAGAGGGGGATTATTTTTCCTTTTGATTACAACCTTTTCTCCCCGTGACAAAGCATAAATCATGGACATCAGAAAATAAGGTAGACCTCAGGAATCCTGCAAAGACTGAGAAGCTTACATTCCTCCTCAGGAGGAAAGAGTGGGGTGTTTTTAGCCCTCTCTGGAACCTAAAACGAAAAACATGAGTTGCGTGCCATGGAAAGGAGACAAGGCCAAATCCGAATCATTGGAGCTGCCCCAGGCTGCACCCCTACAAATCTACCATGAGAAACAGCGCAGGGAGCTTTGTGCTCTGCACGCCCTCAATAACGTCTTCCAGGACAGCAATGCCTTCACCCGGGACACGCTGCAAGAGATTTTCCAGAGGTAGGGGACTCCTTCTTGGTGTCTCTGTACTTTTGTGCTCTTTTTGAATTTCTGCGCGTGGGGCAGCGTCTCTGCTGCATAAACCTTCAAACCAACAGGGATTGTTAGCTAAATGCTGTTAGCAGGTATAAGGGACACAGGAATGGGAAAGTGAATAATCAGGACCATTTACTGAGCACTTAACAGTGGGCTGGGCACTGTGCTAAGAGCCTCAGTGGTGTTATCTCAAGTGATCCCTTCTACAGTCCATTGGAATCTGTGTTGTCATTTCCATATTTTGGATAAAGACAGGGCTCAGAGAAGTTCAGTAATTTGCCCAAGGTAACATAACAAGAGATGAAGCCAGGCTTGAATCCAGGTTTGTTGTTGCTGTGCTGTTGACCCCTATGCTGTTAATGCTTCTCAAGTCCTGCCCCCAAGGAGTTTAGAGTCTAGAAGGGGGACAAGATACGTACACACTCAGTCACCTGTCATCAGAGTTGGAATGTAGTGGGTTCCGTAAGAAGGGTATATACACAGTGCTCAGCTTTTCTACGAGGCCATGTGCTGGCGTTGGTGCTTTTCATATGGTGTTTTGTGTAGCTCTCCTAACAGTAGATTTACTGTCTCTATTTTACTGATAAAGAAACAGAAAGAAAGGTCAGGTAATTTGTCCAAATAGCTTCTAAGTAGCAAAGCTGTGATTTGAAGCTGACTCTAGGTCCCCTCCCCTTTCTATTTCATTCTAGAGGGCCTTTCTTATCCACTTTCCAAACGCTACCGGACAGGTTGATAGAAGTTCAGCTTTCTTCTGTCAGCTTTGATGTTCTAAAATTCTTCTCTCAAAGCGTATGAGAAATGGTTCTGCAGTGGCTGGTTCAGCACGTGTGCTGTCCATAGCAACTCTGACAGTGCACCTGTCTCACTACGCCAGCTTATAAAGAGTTATCCCGCTCAATTCTCAGTGCAGAGAAAGCCCAAGAATTCTTCAAGCAATGTATATTGGCAGTTCCAGAAGACCCTTCTCTGACTCCATTCAGGAATGCAATGATTGCCCCAGAGGGCCTGAATTACAGCTGGGAACGATCTATTTGGGGTGATTTATGAAGCGTAGGTATGGACCACTTACCCTGAAAGAACCGTAGGCCCTCTCTTAAAAGAATGTTAATCCCAGTGTGCTGACAAAATTGTAATGAGAGTAATTATTTTCCAGTGCCAGTAATAACCATAGTAATACCTTAGCAGGGCAGATGTGTCCTTTGCATCATGGCCATCATCTGGCAAGTAGAATTAACTCTTCTCAGGAAATAGGGCCCTGGGAGGTGAGATAATTTGTCTCAGATTGCTAGGTCGTGTAACTGAAAGCAGAAAGGAGGCCAGTCCATTAGACTGCTTCCTTTTGGCCAGCCATTAATATATCTTCTACTCCTAATTGGATATTTGCAGATTATTTCCTAATCGAAGTCTAGGGAGAAGAAAAAGACTGACAGTGAGTCCTTGAATGTGCTTGGTACTTGGTACTCTGTAACAGCCCTGCAACAACCTTATCAGTAGTGATCCTAGGAAACTAGGTTTCCATTTAAGCAGTTTGCCCAGTTTCACTCACTAGTCAATGTCAATTTCAACATTCGGTGTGTCCATTCAGAAGTTTTCCACTTCTCTAAATTTGGCCTGGATCTGACATGATGATCATCACTAACACAGATGAACACTCACTCTGTGCAAAGCACTGTTCTGAGTGCTTTCCTTGTGTTAACTCACTCCTGACACCAATCTTAAGGGTAGATCCTGGGACTTCCTTGGCGGTCCAGTGGTTAAGACTCCGCACTTCCACTGCAGGGGGCACCGGTTGGATCCCTGGTCAGGGAGATAACATCCCACATGCTGTGCGGCCAAAACAAAAAGGTAGATCCTGTTATTTTTCACCTTTCCAGATGAGGGAACAGAGTTCACAGAGCTATTAGTTGTAGGATTTGGTCCCAAGCTTTGTGAATGGAGGGCCTGCTTTCCTATCCGCTCTGCTACTTCTGAGTATTGGGAAGGCGTCTCAGCAATTACATCATCAGTAGCTGTTCACCCTGCTAGGAAGTTGGGCCTGGGTTTGAAGATGTTGGACTATAAGCTGTTTGTGGATAATAGCAGGACTTTTTCAGCTATGTTTTCCCTGAATGAAAGAATGCTAAATATTTGCTAAACACTCACATGGAACCGAAGTTCTATTCCTGGCTTTTGAAGCTTTAGCAAGTTGTACTACATTCCCCCAGGTACCTATCAGCATAAGATCCACCTCAGAGTAACAGCAGACCAGTACATATGAGAATATATGTACCCTACCACTCCAGAGGTGGAATTCTGTATGGAGTATTTAATATGGGAAGATTCGGTGTGGATAAATAGAAACAAAGAAGTGTGAAAGGGATGAGAGGAAAAAACAAAGGGAGGAGAGGTGAGGGAGAGGAGATAGAATTTTTTAAACAAACATTTACTAGCTGCCTTCAGTCTGCCAGGCAGCACTACACACTGTAGAGAAAACAAGCCGAACAAGACTCAGCTGCTGAGAAGTACATCTTAGAACTACCCATTGACCCGGCCTTGAGAAAAGACTTAAGTGAATTTAGAACCATGGAATTCAGAGCAATCTAAACGCGAAAAGATAATCTATTTGGATTTTAACAGAAAAGGAGAGTAATGTTGGCAGTAATGTTAACTAGATAATTTTTCATTCCCAGATCTTAAGTTCTATGCTTTTTTGAAGATGTGGCTGATGAATGGTAGAAATGGGACAAAATTTTTGATGAATGCCATTTGTTGAGAGGAAGTTCATTCTAGCAGCTGAATTTTAGCCAGACAGAATACAAAAGCAGGGTGGAGTTTCAATGCAGTTGTGGGTATGAGATGACTCATGGTTGGAATAGAAATGAATAGGAATTTAGACAGGACTAAGCTAATGACTCGGCAGCAACACAGGAACAGGGAAGAGAGGAGTCAGGTGTGACAGGCTCAATCCAGGATTTGAAGATAGTGGTCACGATTGCAGTGATAGCAAAGAGATCATTGGTTTGAAAAGGATGAACAGCTGCAATTGGAGAAAAGGTCGGACTATATAAAGAGATTATAGATACTGGTGAACATCCTCTACCACAGAGAAGCCCTCCTGCCTCCCCATTAAAAAGTCCCTGAGCACACATTTAAAGGAAGGAGCCACATTTAAAAGTATGGTGGTTGTAAATTGAGAAAAGGTGTTGTTGAGTGTTAACCTCTAGAGATTTACATTTTCTCTTCCAAGGGCCGGGCAGACTCCTCCTCGTCATCATCATCATCATCGCCAGCACCTACAGAGTACTTTTGTGTGCCTGGCGCTGTGATCTGTGCTTTATGTATTTAAGCTGTGCTTTATGTATTTAATAATTTAAAAACACATTAGGAAGTTCTGAGCCATATTTTCTAAGGTCACACCTCAGAACTTATAAAAAGGAAAAAATTAAGGGAAAAAGGGAATCTTGATGACATGTTTCTACATCTCCTTTTCATTCAAACCTGAAACATCACCTTAGCCAGACACAGTGGTAACTATAAGAGAGGACCAGAGACTTAACTGAGGGCACAGACATCAGTGGAGAGACCTGGACTAGAACCCATCTTCTCAGTTGTAGATCACTTCAAATCTTATGGCTCTAACCTCTGCCTATGGTGACAAAAATGAGAGGCTAGCGTACAGTCCAGAATTTCTGTGGAAATAATTAAGACAGTCCTGAATAGGAGTTTGCTGAGGAGTCTCAAGAAAACATTCCATTGGGACAGAGTAGAATTCCCATGGAATTCAGTGGGATCAGTGTGTTGAAATATCCAGGAGACTGTTCATTGTAGCTTTAGGTTTAGAGGTGGAATCCTAGCTCTGCCACTCCCTAGCTGTATATGACTGTACAAGTCACCATAACCTCTTTGTACCTCAGCTTCCTTACTTACACTATGGGGTTAATTTCTATCTCAAGATTGTTGGAAGGATTAAGTGATAAATCTCATAAAAATAGCTAACACAGTGGGCACTTGATTATTGTCAAAGTAAAAACAAGCACTGGTATAATGGGCGCACTGGATGGATCCCACTTATTCAAATGGCCACTCTTCTAGGAGTGAGATGGAAACCATTCTTAGCATTTCCTATATTGATTGGTGTGACAGACACATGGTTATGCAGTTGCCAGTGCCCAGCTGTGAGAGATACAGAGGAGATGAGTCATGCCCTTTGCTTCGGGAATTTACTATTTTGTTGGAAATGTATAAAATAAATGAATTCTTCAATGGACCTATAAGATAGGAATCATTCCCATTTTTACAGAGAAGCTAACAGGCATGGAGACTAAATCTCAGAATTGATATTGATTCTGCTTGGATGTGAACTCAGATGTGTGTGGTCCTCCTGATCTCCCTCCTTTTTCTACTGCCCTGGAGCCAGGAAGAATTCCATGGAAGAGGTAGGATGTTAGGTTGAGCTTGAAGAAGCTTTAGGATTTAGCTTGAAACAGGAACTAGGATAAAAGAAGAGAGGCCAGATGGTCATGGTGCCTGAAGTACACTAAGCCCAATGAAAGGGAAACAGCAGGTCAAGTGGGGCTGGGAGGGTTGGAGTTGGCCAACCAGGCAACTGGCTCCACTGACAGTTCTTATGTAAGTGAGTGAAATGATACCTTGGTGAAGGTGGCAGGAACATAAAGGCTGAATAGGTGGAAGGAGCATTTGGAAGCAAGGAGGTCAATTTAGGAACCTGTTTCAAAAATTCCAGGTGTGGGACTTCTCTGGTGGTCCAGTGGTTAAGACGCTTCCAATACAGGGGACGAGGGCTCGATGCCTGGTCGGGGAACTAAGATCCCACATGTTGCATGGTGCAGCCAAAAGATTAAAAAAATTTTTTAAATCCAGGTGTGAGGTGAGGGGCCTCCAGAGAGATAGTAGGAATAGACAGGCAAGGATTTGAATCTGAGATTGAATATGTAGGACAAGGAGAAGAGACACTTGGAACACTAGTCCTAGAAGGTGCACCTCAAAAAAAATGAGTGGTCAAACCTGTTTGGGAGCTGAAACCTTTTGTACACCCTCTCCTCGAGACTCAAGGTAAATATTAGCATATTAGGGGCTTCAAGAAAACCTGTAGGAAACCTGTTTACTTGATTCATTCAGCTATTGTATTAAATGCCTCTGTGATCCTCTGAGGAGCGCACTGGGGGGAAACGCAGCACTAAGGTTTGAGCTTGGTAGGGAGTTAGATGGTGAAAGAGGTGGAAGACTCAGCAGTTTCTTTGCTGGAACCTTCATGCGTCTACTGGCTGGAGACTTCTCTGAAGGTATTGAGAAGCTACTGAAAAGTTGGTGAAGGGAGAGGAACTTGATATATCTTGAGATAGACTTTCATATGCTTTCTCATTTAATCCAAGTGCCCAAGAACCCACTGAGAGCCTTTGTCCAGTTAAGCTACATTTTAGGCCCAGGCCAAGGGACTCAGCTGGCCTTTCCTCTTATCAGCCCACCGCCACCAGCCACTCTGATTCATGAGTCCTTGCCGTAAGACAGCAAGCAGAACTTTGGATTCAAACAAACCCGAGTTTGAATCCTAGTTCTGTCATTTATAAGGGAAGTGGTCACGGGCTAGTCACTTTAAATCACCAAACTTCAGTTTCTAAACCCATAAAATGGTAATAATTCATAGCTTCTTATGGGTTTATTGTGAGGATTAAATGAGATACATATATGAAAGCATCTATCATCAGGCATGGCAGAGAAGTTTTCACTAAACGGTACTTACTGTCACAGGTAAAACAAAGTTTGGTTGCAGAGTGGAGTTTAGTGTCCTCAGATCCCCTTCTTTGCTAACTCTGGAGGCTAGCATATAAGCCCTTATTATTTTAAGGGTCCGCTAATATTTACAGGGCAAGAGAGAGGGAAAACAAAATAAACATGGAAAACGTTTCAACAAACGTCCCTCGGGCACCTGTCACGTGCCAGGTGTTCTTTGAGGTCTGGTGATGGGTAGAGGAGGCCCCTGCTGTCCTTCTAGTGTGGAAAAACACGCAAGTCAGAAAACATGTCCAGTAGTAACACGAGCTATAATTAAATTAAAGCAGGTGGGTGTAAGAGGAAATGACTGGGAGAACCGTAAGGTTGGGTGGTCAGAAAAGGCCTCTAGGGCAATAACACTTGAGACCCAAAAAATGAGGAGCAGAGCAAGTGAAGATCTAGGGGAAGAGGATTACAGACAGCGGGAACAGTGAGTGCAAAGCCCCTCCAGTGAGAAAGAGCTTTGTGTGTTCAGATTGCAGAGAGAAGGTGTTTGTGCTAAGAGGTAGGGATGAGGTCAGCAGAATCCTAAGGGCCTTGCAGGCCAGAGGAAGTTTAGATCGTATTTAAGTGCTTTGGGAGCCTTGGAGGGTTTAAGTAGTGGCAGGAGTATGTTTTATGTTGGAAAAATATCAGTATGGTTGCTGTATATAGAGTATAAGATTTCTTAAGTTTTTAGAGTTGACCTAAAGATCTGATTCTCTCCTGGAGATGGCATTTAGCAACCTCCTAGACACCCGCTCTCCACTTGTATTCTTGAGGAACTCACGTCATTTCCCTTCCTCCCCTTCACACAGAGGTGAAAGGCATGCTGCCCCTTCCTTCAAGATGGCCTTTCCTCAGGTCCTGGCCTGCGCAGCCTATGAAAGCAAATTAATAGGACTGGGAATGCCTTCAGAACTGACCTTGTCATGAGATGGAGGAGTGGCTAAAGAGGCCTGGGCAAAGATGGCTTAAAGCCAGTGAGCAAACCAGACTGCAGTTGAGTTTTGTTTATCTGGTACAAAATTTTTTCCCAATTTGTGTTTTTTTTCTTTTTTTTAATTCAGGTATTTTACACACGTGTATATTCAGAATACCTTTAGGTGGTTCGTGAATTTCAGCTTAATATGGGCCTTACTACTTTATATTGCCTTATGTGGTCCCAGTTCATACATTTGTGTTACCTGTCTGAGCCCCTGTAGGCCTTTGAGTATTTAATGATTGATGATCACCAAGTATGCAGGCCTTAAACAGAAAGCATTTAAAGTGTAAGAAATAAGAGTAAGAAATACTACCCATGCAATCAAACTATCAAATACTATTTTTAATGTTAAAAAAAAGGCTGTATCAAGGCAGGAAGATCAGCAAGGAAGAAGACTGCAGACATGAGAAGACTGGGGGTTTCATAGATGAGACTCCTTCGTGGAACATTCTCTGTATCCAGTGAATTCACTGGAGACGCACTTTCTAAATGGTAGGCAGATAGGCCCCACTGCTACTGAATTATTGTTTTTCATAAAAGGAAAGGTAATCCCTAGGGAAGCAGGAGCCCAGACTTCAAAATACTTTGGTAAAAACTCATTACATTTACTTGAATGGGAGGAAACAAGCTTCCAGGGGCAGTGGTGTAAAGTGCTCTTTTGTCCCTGCCAGTGCGGGGCCAGGAGGGGTTAGGTTGACCAGCAAGTCTCAGCTTTCCTCCTTTCACATTTGCAGGTTGTCTCCAAACACCATGGTGACCCCCCACAAGAAGAGCATGCTGGGAAATGGGAACTACGATGTGAACGTCATTATGGCAGCACTTCAAACCAAAGGCTATGAAGCTGTTTGGTGGGACAAGCGCAGGTAATTGAACCAGGCTTGACTTGATGAGAACTGGCACTCAGCCGGGGAGGTGGCCAGTGGTGGTGTTACAGCCAGGGAATCCGGGGGAGTTGGCTGCTGCAGAGCCCGACACCGTTTCTGTTCTGCAGGGATGTCGGCGCCATTGCTCTCACTAACGTTATGGGCTTCATCATGAATCTGCCCTCCAGCCTGTGTTGGGGTCCACTGAAGTTGCCACTCAAAAGGCAGCACTGGATCTGTGTTCGAGAGGTGGGAGGTGCCTACTACAACCTCGACTCCAAACTGAAGATGCCTGAATGGATTGGAGGCGAGGGCGAGCTCAGGTACCTGTGTGGCTGATGTAGTGGCAAGTTGAGCTTATCTTTGGACAAAGGAAATGAAATTCCTAGTTCCTTGGGTCCTCTCCTTATTGTCACTTAGAATCATAGGGTTTCAGACTTGAAAAAGACCTGAATCTTTGATGGCCCATGAAGACATTAAATCCCGTTGGTAGAGAAGTCCCATTACCTGGGATGCTGGCTTTCTAGTCTGGCGGGACTGGCATTGTAACATTCTCCAACTTGACAGTATAGCTGCCAGTTCAGTGAAAGGAAGGCAAACGTTTGGGCCCGAGGCGGCTACATTTCCCTGGAACCAAAGAAGAAACTCCTGCTGCTTCTTCTTTTTTCACAATTGTAAGTCCTTTAGAGTACTTTGGGCTCTGTTCCTCACAGAACTGGCTACTGTTGGCAGTAACATATGAGGATGAGCAAAAATTCAGATCGGAAATTTAACTGGACAGATTGAGGGGTAACCAGATGTGGACTCCTCCAAGAACAGATCACTACTAGTGTGTGTTTAGGGCAGCCAAGGGCATAAATAACAAGGGTCCTGTCTGGCGAACATGTCGCCCCAAGACTGGAGTTTGCAATTTTACTAGTATTTTCATTTTCTCTTTCATCTACCCTTTTTTCCTATAGGAAATTTTTAAAACATCATTTGCGAGGAAAGAACTGTGAACTCCTGCTGGTGGTACCAGAAGAGGTGGAGGCCCATCAGAGTTGGAGGGCTGATGTGTAACACAGTTCTACCCAGCCTTCCCTCACCTCAACCCCCGAAATCCTCTGTGATGTGCTGTGGCCTCTACAGTGGGTCTGCCCTTGCCACGTCCCCAAACATCTCATCGGGTTTTTCCCCTCAGATTTGACAGTGCAATAGGACAGACGTGTAGACTGTTACAGAACCAACCAGCGTTACTTGTTCTGGGAAAGGAAAGTAGGAGCTCTGTGTGCTTAGGGCAAGCTATGGAAGACTTTTGTTTTATTTGAAAGAGAAAGAAAGGTGGGTCTTAGCTTATTTCCCCGTTTCTCTGAGGACTTGCTGGAGTTCACTGCTGCTCTGACTCACCTGGAGATGCTGCCTTCACTTCCCCTTTCCTGGCAACCAGTGGGTCTGAAGACACAGTACAGGCAAAGCCCATGTGACAGGTTTGAAGGACTTAGAGCAAAAAGGCCTCTCAGGAAACCATCTCCAAAACTGCAGCAGCAGTACAGCATGCTGTCTCCAACCCTTAATGCCGCCCTTACCCCGTTTTTAAGAGTGGTTTATGGCTATCCTTGGAGTTTTATAATGAAAAGTTCTCTAATATTCCATGCTGGGTGGTTGAATCCTGCGATATTCTAGTGTGACAGGGTGAGCTAGATACTTACCTAAGAGGATGTGGCCAGAACCAGGCTGGGGCAGGCATGGGCAGCCTGTCTGCCTCACTCCAGCAGCATCCCTCCCACTTCACTGCATTGCATTGGTTTAGGAGGCTTTGAGGCACAAGATAGGCAAAAGGGCAGTTTTCCCAGCTGACCCACTCTGGCAAAAATCAGGAAAAAAATAAGACTGCCTTTGACATCAAATTCTACTAGTTTGAGACATAGTTGGGCAAGGAAAGTATTGGGAAGATAAGCCTTCAGAGACTTGGATCAGCTAGAATGGGTAGAAGTCCTAGGCTTGGAGTTACTATAGTGACAAGAAGCAGAGCCCTCACATTGGGTGGATGTGTGCGTTACGCTTTGTCATCTCTCTGTAGCTTCCTTTACAGATCAACTGAGAATGGACCCGCCCCCTACCTCTTTAAATAGTTGTAGGCCACTTTTCTCCCCGTAACTTGGGAAAACAAAAGAAGTAAGAGTCATACTACACCGCCTGTCACCACAGTGGCTGTGGTTGTCTCAGGGCAGGCGGGCAGGCAAGGGTGGCCTGTCCAGCCCTCACAGGTCAGTGGTTTCAGCAGGTCTGAGAGCTGCCCCACTGGCCAGACCTCTCCAATAGCAGAGCCAGCCTGGGGCTTTTGCATGTCCAGCCTGGGCAAGCTTATCGGGATGAAGCTGAGGCTCTCTCCCCACTGTGACTGGAGTGCATGTTTACACCAGCACTTTTTCTGCACATGTATCTTCAATCTAACAAGGCCATTTTTTATGCTGAGTAACAGAGGCCACCAAGCGGCAACTGCATTACACCCTCAGCAAGTGGCCGCATTCTCTTCTGCACCATTTTCTACACCAGGCCTGCTTGGCACCACAGGGAGCTCTTCGCCCCTGCAGTGACATTCCAACCACCACCAGCCAGAAGTTACAGCCAACCTTGCTCATTGTCACAAGCAGGACCTTGGGTCCATCGGCACTGTCAGTGATGTAAGCCATTTCCTGGGAGGAGGAGGAAACTCCTCGCCACCAGTCTGCTTGGGCCTGTGCAAATGGCACTTCAAAGGAGTCCCCATGCACTTGGAGTCCATGAGCCAGTGGGATATATGCAAAGACGCTTAAACATTTCAGGGCTGGTTTCTCTGTTCATATCCAATTCTGGTGCTTAGGAACAGGGACCTATGCTGATGCCCAAGGGCAAAACGCCCCACTTCCTTTAAGAAAGGGGGCAGGCCTGACCCTGATGCCCAGTAAGGGGCAACCCTAGGCTTTTTGTTTTTCTTGCTTTTATTCCTTTTTGTTGGCCTTGTGCTGGGTTTGTTTACAAAAGATGTATTTTGTTTAACCAAATATTAAAAATGGAAAACTCCATACATAAATTTCATCTGTCTGAATTCTATAATTATGTACATTAAAAAAAGTGAAGTTTAGTATGATGCTGCTTTGGAAGGAATTCACTACCAGCATAAGTCATCTTTTAGAGACATATTGTGCTTTGGCCAGACCTCTCACTTCAAAAATCCAGACAAAATACTCACCAAGTAGAACTTAATTCAGAAAAAGCCCGAGACACTTTTCGACTTAATTGTAAAAACTAGGCTCCACAATATGAAGAACCCTAACTCTAAAGTACAAATTTTCTTTACTGACAAGTGACTATTCTTCCCTGGTTAACAGGTGGAAGATTATGTATTTACACAGAGGACCTGGGAGGCCCCGGCACCACGTACATAGCAGGATTCCGAGCCAGACTGCCTAGATTTGAATTCAGATCAGGCATTTTCTATTCAGCCTGGAACAGATCACTTAACCTTTCTGGGACTGTTTTCCTCTTCTGTAAAATGAGAATACTACCACCTCCTAAATTGTATAGTATAGTTCCAGCAACCCACATGAAGGACTTAGTATTGTTACTAGCACAATGCCAATAAAAATGTGTGTGAAACGGAAAAATTACAAAGTTCAAAGATAGGGCTACAGTTGGATTCACTGTCAATAGCTCATCAGCAATTACAGTTGTTCCTCAAACAGCACAGGTTTGAACTCTGTGGGTCCACTTACACGTGAACTTTTTTCAAATACTACAGTGCCACGTGAACTGTGATTGGTTGGACAGCAGACACATAGAGGGCCAATGATTTTTAAAAGAAATGCACAGGCTTTTGCAAGGAGGGTCAGTTCCCCTAACCCCGTGTTGTTCAAGGGTCAACTGTATTTTCAAAAAGAACAAACCCAAGATGTTCTGTTTGCAACCTTCCTATCCCCAGACTAGACAGCAATACTATGTCATTCCTTCCAAGTTCTTTATAATTACTGTTTTTTCTTTTTTTTCCTTTGGCCGAGCTTCACAGCATGTGGGATCTTAGTTCCCCAAACAGGGATCGAACCCGTGTTGCCTGCAGTGGAAGCAGAGTCCTAACTGCTGGATCACCAGAGGATTCCCCCTTTATAACTGTGTAATGTCACTGTAGACTGTGCAAGTACATGGACCCAATCCTTTGCTGGTGGATCTGAAACTGATTGCTTGAACTCAGAGAGGTTCCTGGTCAAAGATGAATTTTTTTTTACCTCTGGGAATTTAACTAACTTGGGCTTAAGGGATCAGTCAGTATTAAACGGTGGTGCTGGCTCAGGTGAGAGAAAATGTGAGGGGCAGTTTTCTTTGCCCTTCTAAAATGGTCTAAATAATTTTAAGGTATGTATGACGAGCACTTGGAATACATTTTTGGTTGGAATCATTTTTTAATATTTAAATAGAAAAAGTGAGCACTGACTTTTTTAGACACACACATGTCTAACAGCCACAATATGCAGAGGAAATGAGCTCCTGCTCTGTCCTCCACAGTCCCCATCTTGTGGTTGAAGCTGTTGCCAGCCCTCTCTCCATCCTTTCCAACATACACAGAAATTCACAGCACAGCTGTAATGCATTTTATCTCTTGTGCACGTCCCTCCCCAACATCCCCATTCTTAAAAACCGAACAGTCGTTAATGGTCAGGGGCACATCTTTCCCGATGGCATCAGTTCCTACCCCACAATGGGATAGTGAGGAGATCTTCCGTCAGAAGTAATTTAGTGAAAGGGGTGGGATGGCCGGGGCTGGAGTAACCGTCTGCATTGCTGCACTCTGGTATCAGGGTGAGGACAGAAGAAATAAGTCAGGAGAGCATGGAGGGCACAGTTGCAAGTGAGGAGTCTCTCCATGAGACAATGTGGGGAGAATTCTCCCCACCAGGTTTAGATAGATCAATGTGCCAAAGTTAAAAAAAAAAAAAAATTAAAAAAAATCCAATAATCAGCAGTTCAAACACTATTGAATTTTCAAACTTCTCCCACCAAGACAGGCCAAACATAGCAGTAACAATCTAGATCTTTCCAGGAAGTGAAGGTAGAGCCCCGGGCATTCCTCCTGACAGCCCTGTATTAGGCCCTAGAAGTATCTGGAAAAGAAAAGGAGGGGTGTAAGGCATTGTACAGACCTAGGGCTCTCATTTTCATCATGCCTGTCCAGGCAGACAAGGTCTATGAACACAATGCTGAGGGCACAGTCAGGCACCTAAAGGAGGGTGGGCCGGATCCCAATCCCTTCCGGCACACTAACCGCCCTACCTAGGTGCTGGAGGAAGAAACAACTTATGTCTCCACTACTGGCAACAAGCCCAGGGTCTGGGCTCACCTGCCGCTGCTGCAGCTGCTGCTGTTGCTCCATCTGCAACTTCTCAGTCTCAAAGACGACCGGAAGAACCAGGATCATGAAGGAAGTGGTTCCAATCCACAAGGCTGCCCTGGAAAACCTGTGGAGGGAGCATGAGCACCACGGCAAGACAAAAATACACAGCTTCACCAAGAACTCACTAGTAACCAAATCTCTCACCCTGCACATTCCAATGTTCTTGGTTGGCATGTTCTACCCAACTCTTGCACTGTACTCCTACCGGAAACAAGAGGAGCAGTTCTAGAACCTGTACATCTAGTGAGAGTAGTCTGAACATTCTCCTGAGTTCTCACAGTGCTACTTATACATTAATTATATCACATAATCTGAGATGATCCTCACAACGACCCTGCCCAATAAGAATCCTCACTTTACAGACGAGGAAATAAAGACCAAGAAAGGTTAAAGCAGCACCAGTCCAAGGTCACTCAGTGATCTAGCTGGCGGGCTGGCCTCTAACCCAGGTCTGCGGCTCCCAAAGCCCGTGTTCATTCAGGGCATCTCAGTCACCCCAGGCACACCCCAATGTCTTTGCCCTCGTCCCTTACCTGTACATTTTTTGAGCCACGAAGAGGGAGAGATCAAAAGTGGCTCCAGCCGCGGACCGGACTCTCTCGGGGAACATCTCCGTCAGACCCCACAGTCTCTCCGACAGAGTCTCATCTAACTGTGGTGGAGGAAGCGCGGATATGGGCCGAAGCAGCGGTAACCACCCCCCGACGCCGGTCCCCTGGAGCTAGGGCACCCCGGCCCCAGCGGGGCCTCACCTCGCCTCCCGGAGACGCCTCTGCTCGGACCTCTCCAAGCTCCGCTACGCGCCTTCGTCCCGCTCCTGCAGCACGCGGAGCCCTCACCCCCGCTCCACGCCTGCACCTTCCCAGCCCCGCTCCGTCCCGCGGTGCCCAGTACCTCCTCATCGTCTTCCTCCTCCAGCTCCTCCTCAGGCTTCTCGGCATCGCCTTTCGGAAGCAATTCGTCCGGGGACAACGGGGCCCCAGAGCCCGCAGCGACGGCGGCGGCAGCCATGGCTGTGGGGAACACCGGAAGCGGA